CACTTGCCCACGCGACAGCTCCTTTCGAGCAGGTGTAAGAATTTCCTGTTCATTTAGCTCTGAGAGTGGGCTCCTAGAATCTTCCACAAAGGCGGGAGGTGAGCTCCCTAGAGAAGACACGATATCATCGCCACCAGGAACCGTCCTCTTAGCTTCGGGACCACCTTCTATAGAGGAAGCCCGGGAAAGTTGCCTTTGCCGTTTGATTTTTGGACGAGTGGGAGAAAGAGGGAGGAGCATTTCATCATCACTACTATAAGCATTTCCAATTGTCGGTTTTTGGTTGCTGAGATTGTCTCCTGACCCTGACGAAATGCTTCCACCATTGTTTATGGGTTCCGGTTCCGACTCCGAATCCTCAATCACTTCACCATGAAAGATGGCGGACGATCTTTTCAACCCATGAATACCCTCCTGATCATCCTTATCGATCTCATCAACTACCGCCGGACGTCGTGACTGGCTACTATTGCCCCCAAATAGGAAACGGGGAGTTGACGCGAATTGAACACTGCTCTGGGACGACGGCGGCCCCAAATGGAATCGCGGAGTTCTGGATACTTGTTGCGGAGGACGAGTCCTGTTGGGGTATTCAGGATATTCATCTTCCTCCGGCTTTTGACGCGCTCTTGCTGGTGTCTGCTGGAGAAGTCAACGAAGTCCATGTTCCAACGCGCCACAACAAACATACATTCATATGGCATGATATATTGCTTTCTAAGCCAATCCTCCAGGTATCAGGCAAATCAGCTCATTCGTCTCGGGTTCCATCGCACCAAATGCGGCCGGATTCGTTGATGAAACGAAACAAGTCAAGCAGGCTACGCGGAAACGCGGTTGATGTTCAATTAAAGATGAGGCTCTGCGCATCAGCCGAGGTTCTTGGCAAAACCCGAACAATCCAACTCCAAATCACCGATTCAGGAGATCAAGGAGAAATCCAATATGAAAATGCTACAAGGCCATTATCAAACATACTGCAATTGCAATGACGGCAACACTTCGTCCTCGCCCTCGGACACTTCTTTTGACGTTAGATGCGTTTAACACGATATTTCACCCTAGGCAACACGTCGCGCTGCAGTACACTGAGATTGCAAAGGCTGCAGGTTTCATATCCCAAAATGTCACCCCAGAATCAGTACAAGCGGCATTCAAGGTTGCTTTTAAACGAGAAACTGCCTCAAGGCCCAATTATGGGAGAAACACACCAGGATTTGGTGGCCCTAGAGAATGGTGGGCAAATGTCATAAGGGGTTGTTTTGCACGAGTTCACACAGGCAAAAACGAATTAGAAGGCGTTTCAGAAACAAGAGCTGTACAAGAGGTCCCGGACTCATTGGTATCTCAGCTCCTTCGAAGATTTGAGAGCAAGGAAGGATATACTTTATTTGAAGATGTGGAAAGTTTCTTCAGCCGCCTACATTCCTGGAAGAAAGAGCTGCAGGAAAGGAAGAGAGCCGGCTGCCTTAGAGACGGCGATGTACAGAATGTCATTGTTGGTGTGGTCTCCAACTCCGACGACAGGGTATCCCCGATCCTGAACTCGCTGGGGTTGTCAGTTGGGAATGCATGGGCAGATAGCGGAGAATTGCTACCTCGTGCATCATCATCTATTCCTACGGGTGGGACTCAGTTGAACGATGTTGACTTTATAGTGACGAGTTATGAGGCAGGAGAAGAAAAGCCCCATCGCCATATATTTGATGTTGCGAAAACCAGAGCCAAAGAGCATTTGTCGGTAACAGACCCTGCGTCTCAGGTAGACGGCGGGTGGAGACGTTTTCATATAGGAGACGACCATGGTGATGATTACCAAGGAGCCATTAATGCTGGATGGGAAAGCTTCTTGTTACTCCGGGATGGGATGGATTATCTTCCCGGTACGGACCATCGAGCCATTGGGAGTGATGTGAAGACTCTCCGTTCTTTAACCGATTTATATATTCAATTGAACCAAAGATGAGGAAATTTAAATCCGCTCAATTATCTTCAAACTTTTTATACATGAATGAACTGGGGTATCTATTCTAAGCCATTGAACCTCCTTCCGCAACGATACTCAATGTATCAAGGGCAGTTTTGCATGCCCATTTCACCAACTTCTTATCCCGTTTCGAAGTCACTACGTCAGACTTGGTAACGACTTTGCGGATAAAATATCTGAGCCCTGCAACCACTTGCGGTGTCTCAGACGTTTTCATGAAAATAGTCACTAGAGCCTTCTCGTCATACCCATCGTCGGCGTTGTCTTTGTTCTTATGCTTTTTGTGTGATTTCTGCTGCGATTGTGTCATGACTGTTATGAGAAGAATCTCCACAAATGTCTTTGTTTTCGGCTGCAAGTACGGGAAATCGAGGATTTTAAGGATGCCTAAAGACAAACTACCCTCTGCAATTAACCTGGCAAACATGTTCGCTAGGTTGAATATTGCTCTCGTGCTGAGTGCATTTTCCTCATCTTCGGCGTCGATGCCACTAAAATCGTCGTCCTCCTCCGAGTGGCCTCGCTCTCCCATCTTCTTAAAGATATCCCAAAGAGAGAACATAAACGCCATTCTCATTCTCTTCTCGCCACATAGCTTTCGTGCTATCAACGTGTAGTAAGGGTTATGCGCTTCCTCCTCGGTTGCGCAATGCATCAACACGCGAGGAATTTCGGTCTCCTGATTTCGTTTTAAACGGAGTTTGGTCAGCCGGAGATATGCATCTCGACAGTCGGTTGCCGACATTATTGCGACAAATATCGATCGTCGAACGTCAGTGTTCATGCGATGAGCTCTGGCAAGTTGACCTAAGTCAACTTCTCCTCCGGTGATATCGACATCCAAAGTGTCTGTCATAGTTGCATCACGGCCTGCACTGGGGTCATTGCTATGGTCATCGGTCATTGAAGGGTCCTTCCAGCTTGCACCAACAAGCCACCATTTCCCTGTCTTAGATGAATTATGAATATCTGCTCGACTGATTCTGAGCGGCTCGCTAGCTCTGAGGTTCCTGTTGTTCAGGGTCCCAAGAACCTTCCGCATCTTGGTGATGTGCTCGGAAGCCAGTGCTGTACCGGCAATGCCAGTTTTTAGGCGGTTGTTTTTAAGATCGGTGATTATTTCAATCATGAATTTCGTGCGGACTGATAATGCCGCCTCGCCAACCCGAGCTACTGCTGGCTGAACGAGCATTAAAATATCCTTTAGCGAGGAAGGGTCATCTTGCCTCAGCTGAGATCCAGAACCTGTGGTTGGAATTAGTATCAATATATGACAAGGGGCTCTAGCATACGGGGTATTACTTACTCTTGATAATTTTCAGAAGCAGTTCAGTGTTCAACTCATTGATCTCCGTGAGTAAGAGACGAATATAATCAAACGCTAGACTGCTTCCAATAACATGAAAATTATATAGATGTGATAGCAAAGACATCAGGTTTGACAATATCTTGCTCTTAGAGGCATGATCACTGGAGTTTTTATCCTCATATATTTCATCGAACTTTTCCACGACGCGCTGTACAAGCTCTGCTCCAAAATCCATTCCAATTACCTTATACACCGCAGATATAAAGGCAGCGTGGAGGATGACAAAGGTGTCATTAAGGGTGCTCCTATCAGCTACCAAAGCAAGCAATAGGTCTATTAGAGTGGTTGTAACTATTTTGCGCGGGTGGTCTTGATATATCTTTTCGATCTCAGAGAGAATGGATATCAGGTTGGCTTCTGATAGCTTGTTGAGCTGGCCCTGCAATTGACGACGAACACGAATGAGAGCTTCGGATTCTGTTGCTGCAGCCACTCGTAGCGATGCCGGGATGTACTTCGGTTGGTCTTTGCTGGAGGGAGCTACAGGGGCAACATATGGGTTCTCTTTTATTCGTTTGGGTGGCTGCTCAGGTTCGTCATCGAAGCCTTCGAATTCGTCCATGCTGCCCTCTTCGCTGCTCTCATCATCCTCCTCTAGTTCATCCAGCAAACCTTCATCGTCTTCATCTGTTTCATCCTCCCCACTGTCCGAATCGAAATCATTGCCTGAGTCTTCGTCGAGACTCATATCAGCCTGCGCCTGAGCCTGAGCTTTTCTCCTCTTGCTCTGTAGCCATTCTTCGCCGTCTTGCTTGCCCCTCTTCTGGTCTGACTCGGAACCGTATCCTCCCAGATCACCCAGTATCTCAGCTAGCCCGTCTTCTTCAAAAGATTTCGGAAGCTTCTTCTTCCCCTTCAACCCCAAGGCCTTCTCCAGCCGAGCTATCTCCCTGTCGTCCTCCTCAAGCTTCTCCCGAACTGCCCGTGGAATTTTGCGCTCAGGAAGGGCAACGTCCGCGTCGTCATTCTTCTTTGTACCCTGAGCTTCATCACTTCGCTTGCGCTTCTTCAGAATAGATTTGGGTTCCGGCTTCGCTGGTATAGTCGTTCGTAGCTCTCTGTCACCAGCATCATCATCTAAAGACGCTTCTGTACCGGGGTCCCGGTCCCGGTCCTGGTCATCTCGTACATGTCGTTGCACCAGCTTGCGTGGCTGCTGGTGATGCTGTTTCTTCTGTGAGCGTTCTTCCTTTCGCCTTTCTTTCCTGCTCAGAGGCTTCCCTCGCCCTCTGTTGGGCCTCCCACTGTCCCGGCTGTCCTTCAGTCCCAGCTCCTCGCGCAGCTGCTTTGGGAGCCGCGTGGTATTTATCTCCGGTCGACGCATCGCGGTCTCGTCGTCCTCGTCATCTCATTCCTTAAGTCTTCAACATCTCGACCTTTTTTTTTTTTCTTTTCTTCAAAAATTATGATGTGGCCCAAGCGTCATGCCACTAAACCTTAAATCGTCCACACTTTTTGCTGCGAAAAAAAAGCCCGAAAAGCAAAGAAACAACCAAGGAAGAAGAAGAGACAACTTTGCCTTTCTTACAGTCATTATTATTACCTGCTTGCGGGCCTGAATATATACCTGGGTCCTTGCAAAGAATCTATCTCCCTTGGATACGTTTACTGGGACCTCATTGACAGCTACACATCGGCGCAACAATGTCGAAACCCCACCTCCCTAACGACGAGGTATGGATACAGGACGAAATATACCCCACGATACAAAGGGTGCTTTAGATGGCCCAGATAGCTAATGGCGTATCGGCTATAGTTCCTCTCCTTCCTCGAGTCCCTCCTCGTCAAGCAGTCGGCCTCGTCCCGCGGCTCGGTGTTCCTTACACAGAAACGTCTCCAGTCAGAAACTACAAGTAAAGATGAATCACAATCTACAGTGTCGAATCCGCCAATGATCTTAATTCGGGCATCAAACGGAAGACACAAAGATTCGAAAGTCAAGGCTTCCACGGTCGTGAAACCAGAAGAGATAGAGGCATTTTATCGCCGGTATGCAGAGATATGCAAGGCCGGCATGGTGGGCTTGAAGAAGAGGGACCGCAGCGCAAAGAAGAAAGGCAAGGCTAAGGGAAAGAAATAGGAGCAGGGAGCCTAGTTAAAGGACGGCCACGTGCTAGTGGTATGTCTTGTTGAGCTGAGGAAGAGCTTTTTGCTCTTGGGATATATATGCATTGTTTGGCGTTAGATGGGGTCTCCTACTGCGTACTGGGACATAGAGATATACGGGAAACAACGGATCAGTTTCAACAAATGAAATGGTATTCAATAATGGCTGGTATATCAAGAATGCTGCAGGAAAATAAATGCGAACGAGCGAGACGTCTTGTACGTCCAGTAAGATCCCTGTACAGCTATGGCCGAGAAAAAAAAGTAAACCACCTCCCGATAAATGCTAAAAAAAATGTCATTAATGCAAGTAGATGTTGCATATGGTGCCTGAAACCCCAAGCCGTCATTACCGCCCACACAACACGCTAGATGGACCGAAAGAAAGAGCGAAAAAAAAGTAGGACACAAGAGGTACAAGTACAGCCTAAACAAAACAGAATGCAATGAGGTCTAATCTGCCTCGTCCAAAGAATCGTAGACGCTTAGTGAATTCGAGTTCACCTGCTTAAGTGAGGAGGTATAGGGGATGGGTATGCCAAAGTCGTCTTCACTTAGATCACCAATGTCATCCTGGTCAGAGTATGGGTCCGGTAAGTCAGGGGAAGTAGGAGATGGTCTGGTAGCAGCCACCTTTGCAGCAAGACGTAGGAGAAGCATGAGGAACTGGACTGGTGGGCCGAGAACATAGGTGCATGTCTTCTTCATGATTGTGTGGGTGAGATGGTTGGCGGGAGACCGCGCAGAGGGATAGTATAGAGTAGATGGCGGTGGGAGCGGCGATAGATCACGCTTCCGGTTGCTACGAAGGCGTTGACGGAGATCAGAGCTGGGTTCGTTGACGTCAACGCCTTCTTCGGATGAAAGGTAGATTGATCCGTGTCTGTCGAAGCTAGGTTGTGTAGGAGTTGAATGTAGATCTGTAGACAGAAATTCTCTTGGTATTTGGCTCATATTATTGTCATCTGAATCAATAAAGGGGTCGGATTCTGGAATAGACGGAGATTGGTCTGAGGTATCTTCTCCATGTGCCAAAGAAGGTGCAGCAGTAGTCCCTTCATTCCATGGAGACGGAGGGTCCGAGTAATGGGTATCCGAAGGGGAAATGGAATCATCCATTTCACATGTATGGAAGGACCCTAAGCTAGACATCCGCTCGCTGTCATCCATATACTCCTGGTGTTCTTTTTCCTCCGCGGGGCTTGCATCTTGCAACTGCTGGAATTTGGCGACCAAAGACTGGAAGGCTTGAGGAGGGGGAGTCACTGTAGAACCGTCCGACTGCATATTATCCGGTACAAACAAAAAATCTTCTCCATCAGTGGCCACAGACGGGTCATTCCCCGTATCCTGGTCCTGGTCCTGTTCCCGAGAAGTGGCTTTGCGCACATCAAGTACGGGCCCGCCATTTGATTCCAGATCATGCGAGGCAGCCAAGGGCACATCAGTAGGGAGATTCAGCGGTGGAAAGGGAGGCATGGGCTGTAGTTTTGGCTGCCATGCTTTCTTCTTCTTGGGTGTTTTTGCTTCCTCCGGCAGGACCACGGAGAACCCACGTTTAAACGGACAAGGAGTGATTTCATATCTGATAATCCCGGACAGGACCTCTTTGAAGCTCTCGACCCGGCTCTTATCCTCCTCCGTCTCCCCAGGGAGCTCGACGCGATAATAGGTGAGTTTCCGTATCCTGAAGACGAATCTAGAGACCTGGTCCACACACCAGCACTGGCTGTTCTTGAGTAAAGGGTACACCACGCTGCCGGATTTCAGAAATGTAGCCGAGCCCGCAACGGTCTCTATCTTCAGCGGGCCGATGGAGGCCAGTCTCTCTGTCGGCAGCTCCCACGGGAGCGTTTCTATGGCGTCCACAGGGTAGTCGAGGTCCGGGAGGATAGGGGAGGACGAGGAGGAATTTGGCAGCTCGAACTTGAAAATCTTCGCCGAGGGGCTGGAGTAGAGGATCTCGTCTGCAGGAGAGGGGCCGCTGGTCGAGAGCTCATGCGCTCCCAGGCTATATCTGCCTGTCGAGACGGCTCTGGTCCGGGGGATGGTCGAGGAGCGGCGCAGGGGGAATGGCGATTCGGCCATGGCGGAGGGGGAGAGAGAGCGACAGCCAGCGAAAGACAGACGAAAAGAGCGAGCAAAGAAACAAAAAGGAGCGTAAGGAGAAGTAGATGAAGGTAAACAAATCCAAGGTCCTCGCTCTTACATCGCGCGCCGCATGTGAAGAGGAGTTGTCGATGTTTCAAAGTTGTCGGCTTTTGCTCTCCACCTCATAGATAGTTAGCCAACTAACTAACTAGTCACCAGTCCACCAACTAAACTGACTAGTTAGTGTGACGTAGAGGCACCGCCAGCCACCAAAACGCCAACAGCGACATCGACGACCGCGATCAACACTCGACGGAGGAGACACGCATATACAGGCCATCGAGATGCCCAAGTTCGAACCCAATGCCATCCTGCGGGGCGCGCAGCTGACGCTCGTGGGCGGTAGGTCTCTCCAAGCCGGACGGAGCAGTTGATGCCACCACCAGACTCGCTGACTGCATGGTAATAACTACAGCACACAGGGCGCTGCAGAACCCGGAGCTCTTCAAGTCGGAGCACTATAAACAGGCTGCCCTCTCTGTCTGCAGCGGGATAGCCATCCACCTCGTCGTTGCGATCCCGGTACGCAGTAATCTGTCTGCCCGCTCTCGACCGCCAGCCATGGCTAACAACAAGATGACCGCCAGATCGTGGCTGTCAAGCTGGTGATATGGCTTCTCTCCTGGGCTATTGACCTAGAGAATGCTGTGTGGGACGATAAAGTGATCGGGACTCTGGACTTCGTGTCCAACTACGTCCTTCAGGTGCCATTTTTCCTCATGACCCTGATGCGGTATATCACGCCAACCCTGGACAATATGTATGCATAATCCTGTTTCCTTGGTATGGTCAGTAGACGGAGTTGACTTATTACATTTCCTTAACAGGTTCATGGAGTCATTACGCTGGGTTGATATAACCTATACGCGGAAGCACAAGGACGATGACCCGACGACACTACGGCCAATGTACTATGATAACCTGCGGATGTACTCCAAAGGCGGCATGTCTCATGGTAAAAAATCAAGCCTTGCGCCTCTAAAGGCCTTCGCCATTCGCTACGGAAAACGAACCGGCATGGCGCTGGCAGTCTACATTCTCTCACACCTCCCCTTAGTCGGCCACTTCGTCCTTCCATGTGCAAGTTTCTATACCTTCAACAAGGCTGTTGGTCTAGGGCCAGCGGCTGTGGTCTTTGGCACCGGTCTAGTACTGCCTAAGAAGTATCTGATTGTCTTTCTGCAGAGTTACTTTGCCTCTCGCAGCTTGATGAGAGAGTTGGTAAGCTTCGAGTGCCTATTCTTGCACGGTCAGTTACTTGTATACTAACAACTCTACCTAGCTTGAGCCGTACTTCAGCCGAGTCAAATTCACTGCTGATCAGAAACGACGGTGGTTCCTCGACAGAAATGGAGTGCTGTTTGGATTTGCAGTTGGGTTCTACCTGATGATTCGCATCCCCGTGTTGGGAGTCTTGCTCTATGGCATTGCAGAGGCGTCAACGGCATACCTGGTCACCAAGATCACTGATCCGCCGCCACCGCCAGCCTACTCTGAAGGCTTCGCCGAGGGACAAGTGACATGGACGAACAAGCATCTCTTTCTTAAGCTTCCCCTAGACTCCCTCGACTTTCCTGTGGTCAAAGCTCGCGAAGGAAAGAAAATATCCTGAGATTCTTAAAGAAGAAATTCCTGGTCTCTCAGGAATATATGGGATAGCCACTGGCCGCCTAATTTCTCATGGTTTTCTTCCATATACTCAACCATGGAAAAGACAAACCAAAATGTTATATCCCGGACTGATGCCCCTGATGACGAATCGACGCCCCTATAAATAACCTCACAGGCCCGTCAAGTTTCCCAAGATCCTCAAGTTTTCCTAAAGCCGACCGGCTCCTCCTGATCTCAAGATCTAGGTTCAGACCGCAGCCCTCAAGCATATATATGTGCCCTATATTATATGTCTAGCCCTCCTAGAACCTAGGTCAAAGATACCAGATATCTCAGTTACGCCTCCATCTACTCGACCATGTTATCTCCTGGCTGCTTTTCTTTTCCTGCCCTGGACCAGGCACAAGGTATCCATTGCTATCCTCCACTACGTCTGCCCTCCGTCCCTTTGCCACCTTCTCGTCGCTTTCAACTGCTTCTCCTTTATACCTTTATGCCTTCTCTTCCTTAAGCCCTAATTTTAGGCTCAAACGGGGAAGGATCCACCTGACCCACTTGTTCCGAGCTTATGTCATCAAAACAAATTTTTTAGATGGGAAAAAATAATAAAAAACAAGAGAAAAAAAAGAGCGACGAAGCGATCGATAAAGCAACGACAGCTGAGTCGCATCGCGGCAGTGAGAGGAAGACAGAGGGCAGCGTGGAGAGTGATACGGACATTCAGAGCATACAAGCCGCTTCCTGGCCACCTTGAACAGCAACGGTGAGAGCTATGACTGTGAACTCTGTGGACGGCGGTACGCGCGAGTCGTCGACCTTCGATACCAACGACGGGGTCAAAACGCACCAGGAGGAGATGGATTCTCAACAGGACAATAGCTGGAGCGCAATCCAAGACCGGGAGTACCAGGCAGCGTCATCCAATACCGCATCGTCGCCAAACGCAGCGAAGAAGAAGAAGGGCCGCACCGGCTACTGGAAGGAAAAGAAGGCAGCAAAGAAATTGGCCCAGGCCGCAGTCGATGGCGATTTGAACGACAACGGTGGCGTCCCGACTTCAGTGTCCGCCGACAAAGATACGATACAGCTTGATATTGAGAATGTTGACCCTAATGCCACCGTTGAGCAGGACGCCCCGATGCCAGGCTCCGACGCATCCACCAAACCCAAGGCAAAATCTAAGGATCGGAAGAAAACCAAGAGTGCTCCCTC